CTGTGTGTTTATGAAACACTTCTGACAATCAAACTAATTCATATTTGTACAGTTCGTAGTCTTGGTGCTTTTAGGCTGATAATGGGGCTATTAATACTTTGTTGCAAACAAATTAAAATAAATTCTAAACATAAATTCAGTAAAGCAAACAGTAGCTGGATTTCGTTGACCCACAGAATCAAAATATACCACAACTGTTCAGTCACAAATACCTGGATACACAAAACAATTTTTTATCGTCATCCATATTTTATTTACTAAAAATACTATGATGTATATTGAAGCACATATTAAAACACATGTTCAGCACATGTAAGAAATACCTTTGGACAGTAGAGAACAAAAAACTCTGTACCAATATATTTTGCAGATGTTTTAATATATGTAAAGAGAACAAAGTATAATAATTTAATTTACAGGATATCTCAAACTCGGATGCTCCAACCAGCAAACAGATTTCCGTTGATTTTAAAACAAATAATAAGTAAAATACAATTGACCTTTACTTCAGAATTCAGTTTAGATTCAGGATAAAAGCTACTGTAACCCCAAAACCCCAAGTCAGCAGCTTTTGTGCATAGTTACATCTTTGGTTTAAAAACAAAAACAACAACAAAACTAATGTTAGCTACAAAAGGCAATCGCTGTCTTATTCATATTTCACATAGCAGTATCACATGTTACTACCTAAATAAACAAAATAATGAATGTGAACTTTGTAACTGTTTTTCTAAGTGCTATATACTGTAAATAATGTCACTGTGTAGTCTAATGCGGCAAGTTTTGTTACAGAATCAACTAAAGCTACAAACAACATAAAAATATTCACTAAGTTTATCACCAACACATATCACTCTCTCTTTGTGTTTCTGTGTGAAAGGCAAGGCAGGTTAATTTCTACAGCGTCTGTCAACAGCAAGGCACACCTGTCGACACACCAGTTGAAAATAAAGAACAGAACAAAACAAAAACAGTTGTTCGTCTACTGGCAATAGGAAAGGAGGCTATCGTATATTTTTAGAGGGTTTTCTCGCATTCAAAACATCCAAGTATATGCGTTAATTTTGGTGAAAAAAGGGTGGGTGACGGTTTCTTTGAACGAAAAAGGGAAAATGATGCTCACCGTGAATTACAGATGTTATGATTGTGAAGTTTCTTATTTTACTACAGGTACTTGGCTCCATTTCTAAGGAAGCCTAGTTAACATGCTGAAACAGTAATTAAAACAGAGTTGTCTGTGGCAGTTATGTAGCGTCTGTCAACAACAAGGCAGTTCAAGTGTTTCACATAAGACATGAATATAAAGCAATTTGAACTGAAAGAAAAATCACGTTCTTGTTTTCTTTTTTCAAACATACAGTCTTTGCTCTCTGAATTAAGTCCACATATTAATCACTTATTTATTTGTATTATATTTATTCTATTATAATAAAATTTGTTCTCATGAAAAGCTTAAGTGTGAACTGTGTAATAAATCTAGACTGCCCTCGAATCAGCTGACCTGATTCAATCTCCTGTAACAAGTCCTTGAGTAGAACAATTCCCACAAGCTTAAGAATACCTGATGTATTTTTGGGTCTGCGCTGCCGATCTGACCTTCAACACTGCTCCTTCCAAAACCTAATGCTCCCTCCAGCAAAGGCAAATGCTATTTAAAACAAGAACATCCAGTCTTTGCGGCTGTAATCTTTGGGACGTTGTTTAAAGGTGCCCTGTGGAGTTTGTTTATAGTCAGTGTTGCTTAACAAGATGCATTGTGTGCATCCTTCAGGTGAAACAAATTAGAGCTTTGATTGGGCCTGAAAAATTTGGCCCGAACCTACATGAACCTGCGCAGTTTTTGTCCAAGCCCGACTCAAGTCCGACCCGTGGCCAAATTTCAACTGTCATAATTTTTTTTTTTTTTTTTAAAAAAGGACAAGCTTACTGGTAAGTTAACTTGAGCCTTTTCAGTGAGGTAACAGACATTTGTGACCTAGGATGCATTCGTAAATAGCCACTATGAGGACAAGAGCGCACTTGGAGCTGGACACAGGAAACGTCAAACTGTCCCAGACCAGTAATGTAGACAAAAGGACGAGGCTGTTACTGAGATGAATGAACCCGTCCAGCTGATCTTTGCCCTCAACTACCTTAACTTCTTTACAAAGGTGACGCCACTGTCCAAGACCGTCACCCTCAGCACGTCCGCTGATATACCACTCATGATGGAGTACAAGATTGCTGATATGGGACATGTCAAATACTACCTGACACATAAGACTGATGAAGAGGCTTCTTAAGTTGTTTAAAATGGGCAAAAAAACTAAGCAAGAGACATAAAAGTGTTATTCAGAGCACCAGCAGCAGAGGCTCCGGGCGATTTGTTGGAGGAGATGCCAAGCGCACTGAAGCATAAGCCTTTGTTAATCCTTACAGTAACAGTGAAATTACATGTACCCAATCAGATTTAAGCCTGACAAATTTTTAGAAATTACTGCCCAAACCAGTCAGATCTGGGCCAGTCCGGTTTGTGCATAGAATCAAAGCCTGATAACAAATGTGAATTAACTTCCTTCCCCATAAACCACTTGCAAAGGCGGTGTTTGGAACATTTCATATTGTTCACAACCATGTTCACAAATTAGCAGTCTTGTTCTTCTCCTTCCTTTTACTGGCACATTACCACCGCCTGAAGATCAGTAGAATGGTTTGAAGCCAGTGAATATTGAGTCATCTACGCACATGTGCACATGACAAACAAATCTGGGACCAAGTCAAAACCTTAACAGCACTGCCAGAGGTCAAAAACTCCACAGGGCACCCTTAACTAAGTGCACAATCACATCATCACATAGCCACTCTTGAGCATTCCTGCATGACCTAAAAGAAGTAAATGGACCTCAGTAATTAAATTATAACAATTTATAATAATTTATTTCATAGTAAACTGGCTCGCAGTTTGATGAGCCAATCTCTTACACACAAAGAAATGAGCTGTTTTGAGGTTTGACCAGCACAGTTCAACATTAAATTCAACAAAACAAACTCAGTGAGGCTGTCTGGGTGTAAATCTCACGTGGCATTCACTGCACACAACTGTTTTTTTTTTTTCTTAAACTTAAACTTTGACCCCATTCAGCACACAGCTGACAACAGAGTATTTACCAAGCTACAGTAGCGGTCAGTAACGTTTTCACCCGCAGCTAACATCGATTGTAGACAAACGTAAAGTCATACATCAAAGTGACATACTCAGTACAGGCCTGCCAGCGTATAAAAACCACCAGAGCTGAGAAGGTTTGTTCCAAAATGAGATCCTCCAGTTCTAAAACATGACCTTTGTTGTTATGAATAACTGAGAAAACTTAAAAAAATATATATATGGTAACAAGATTGTGAGTCATAAAGAAACTGTGCCCTCAGGAAGAAAAAGAAATCCTTAAGTCGTCCAGTTGCATCAGTAAAAAGTGACTGGCATTCATATGTCAAAGGACCTGATACAAAAACATTCAGAGTATATACACATGCGTACAATGTAGGCACGTTATAGGTCTCACTTAAGGCACTGCAGTTTGAATGCATGAATGCTGCAACATGCAGAGTTCAAAGAAATTTTAATGATGTTTGTCTGCTCGAGTCGAGCCTTCTCTCCCATTCATTTAACCGTCAGTGTTCATTTACTGCTTTATGGCTTTGTAAACATGACCAAGTCCTTCCAAAAGAAACCCAAAACAAAACAAACTACACCTCCCTTGATTATCATCAGTTTCTGAGAAAACTGCATGATGGACTACTATTAGTTATAGTACATCCATGTTCAGGCACAGTTGGGCCATTTCTTACAAAATAAATATTTTAAGGATAGGAAGTGAGGTTTAATGTAATTTCCATTTAAGCCGAAGACCTTTAAAATGATTATTTGTGAATCCACAAACTGCTGAATTTCATACTTCATCTACGTTTCAGTCCTCCCCTTAGAAACAGCATTTCTTAATGACAAACCTTTTCTCTTTTTTTGCACATACCCAGCCTACAACCATCAATTTCTGCCCCACAGAATCACAGGTAGAAGTCCCACAATTTATTTCAGGATGCATTTATGAGGAAGGGCTCATGACTAAATTATATATAATTTTAGTTAACTATGGTTCTTACTGAGAAATATAATAAAAGTTTACAGCAACTCTCTATGACTCAATTGCAGGGACACTCACAGTGGAATTAAAAACTGTGACACCTGATTATTAAAAATGTACTGCGTAGATTTTAGGGGGGGAAACTCCTATTGCACCTCTACATTAAATGTAAATTTTCAATTTAAGGGTCACAAATTCAAATTGAGTTAGGATGTAACCCTAAAGTCTCCCTAAAGTGGGAAAGGTTACAATCTGAATCCATTCCTGGGACACATGACTCTTCAGCAGGGTTTACGATAGCCAGCATATGTGCTGGCTTTCTGCTGGTATCACGTGTAGATCCGGCAGATGAAAATATCACCGGCCAAAACGTCTGGTGGGAAATATGCCAAATAAAATAATAAATTCATTAATAGCATATTTAATAGCCATCGTTGTGTGACCTATAAGATATGTTGCAAAGACAACTTAAATATAAACTTTTGGGATAGTAATAACCGGCGCATCTTTTTATGCCTGTCTGCCTCTTCAGAGCTTACACTTTATCAACAACACTAACAGTCTTCCTTTTGGTGTGCTTGGCAGAATTCGGTGACAGCATCGCAGATTATGTTCTCCAGGATGACCTTCAACACACTGTGGGTCTCCTCGTAGAACAGACTGGAGATATTTATTTTATTTTATTTATTTATTTATTTTATATACTTTATTAATCCCCCTGAGGGGTAATTCAGTTTTTTCACTCTTGCTGTCAGAGTGTTGGGGCTGCCTTGGTCAGGTGCCCTGAGCAGTTGGGGGGGCTCAGTGCCTTGCTCAAGGGCACCTCTGCAGTGCCCAGGTGGTGAACTGGCACCTCTCCAGCTACACTCCATATTTTGATTCGGACGGGGACTCGAACAGGCGACCCTCCGGTTCCCAACCCAAGTCTCTATAGGCTGAGCTACTGCCGCCCCAGATACACTTGATTTATGGTGACACTTGGCGCACTGTATCCTTTTCCTCCTTTGCCTCTGCCACTAAACCTGTGATCATCCAATCTGTTCAATAGACCACTTCTTCTTGTAGCTTATTTCAAGTTATTTAATATTTGAGGATTTTTTTGGTGTTTAAATGTAGGCTGTTATATGTCTGGTAGTATGGCATGAACCCTGCTCTGTACTAGTCATGGGTATTTATCGGCTCCAGCTCCAATAGGCAGTAATGAAAACATAGCACCTGGGTGGACGTGCTAATTTTCACCCATATTCTAGCAGTATGCAATGACACGCCACCACAAATTCTTTCTGTCTCCGTCCAAGCAGTGCTTGAACATCGTTTCAAATTAGTCAGGACCGAGTTTGAGGAAAGACTGAATAAGTAACAGATATTAATAAAGAAGTAAATAATTTCACTGGCCTATATGCTGCTTTCTACTGTTTACTAACCGTTTTGCAACGCGTTCATCACGTCCCGTGTGTCATGTTTGGTGTCGAGCGTGACACACCAGTAAAGAAAAACATAAAGGCATACTTGTCTATTGTCAGTAGGGAAGGAGCCCATTGCCTTTTGGTGGAAAAGAAGTATACGTAACCCTGTGCATGTAAGATTGGTTGGGGACTGTTTATGAACACATTCGGGTGTCTGTGTGCAAAAAAGAGAAAATGTTGCCCCTGTACAGTTTCACTTTTTACTCTAAGTACTTTGTACTTTGGTTCCATTTCTATGAGGAAGACCTGGAAATGGTTTTTAGCATTTAACATGCTGAAACAGTATTAAAGAATTTTTTGCAGCGTTTAAGTAGAAAAAATGTTGGATACTTGCACTTCAGCCATCACTGTAGCATTACAAGGCACACAGGTAACAATGGACTTCTCTTGTGCATTATGTGAAATGTACAACTGCATATATGTAAACAGATATTTGGATGGATGAATCTTTTAGCATCTGTTGTCATAGTCTCCGTTCGGAACCGAAAGGCTTTGGACGTAGTGGACGGCATCTGCGATGGTGAAGAATATGATTTTGTTCTCTTCTTCATCACACCCTTTTTTGTCAGGGTAGTATCCCCCTCTTTCCAGTGCGTCCAGTGCTGAGGTATTACACTGGGCCAGGACCACCTTGATCCCAAGTTCTTCATAATCTTTGCGGACTTCTTTGAGAGCATTCACTCCAGCTGTATCTAAAAACATGATGGCGCTGCAGTCTATCACCACACTGCGTAAGCTACGGGAAGATTTCTTGTCAAGCATCAAGGTTGTTGTTGTTGCACCAGCTTCAATGTTATCCTCTTTACTTGTATCCACTGACTTCATATTTGGGAGTCCTGCAGCCTCTCCCTGCTGGTTGTTCTTCTTCTTGAGCTTCATAAGCCGTGTTTTCTCCTTCAGAGGGTCGAGCCCTACACCCCTATAGAGAGATTTTTTGAACAAGCTCTGGTTGGCATAATAGATTGGAGCCTCGTATTTAAAAACAGCCACTCCGGGATGTCTTTGAAGGCCACGGTAAGACGACAGGTCCTCATAATGCTCCCTGGTTGGAGCCCGGCCAAGCTCCAGCACCTTGGCCTGCTGTGTTCGGCCCAGGACGCAGAGGGCTGATACCAAAACCCCAACGAGCAGACCTAGCTCTGTGTTGACCAGCGCAGAGGTTGCCATGGTGATCAGCCAGATGGAGGTATCAACACGGTTGACACGCCACATGCTTGGAATGTCTCCGAACTTACGTAAAGCTCCACGAAGGTTAACCAGGATGATGACTGCTAATACACATCTGGGCAAGAGAGGGAAGCAAGAAAACAGGGCAAAGATTAGGAACTTCACTCAGTGGAAAACACTAACGCTACATTTCCACTGCATGGTACACAATTTACTGTTTTTGGTTTTACATTAGCAAACACTGTGGATAGTACCTGGTACTTTTTTGTTAACACCTTGGTTGAGGTTCCAATCAAGCTGAGCCAATACTAGAAGGGGAAGTTAAAACACTGTAGACCACTGATTGGTCGGTGAGAATAATCACTAGAATTGTCATTTGACACAGGACCTCCTGCACAAACAGGCAGTTGCGTGTAAAACAACTTAGTTGGTGTCGCGTTGAAGATGACACCGCAATTTCTTGTGATGGGGATAAGCTGAAAATCCCACCTACACTGTAGGGGTAATTTCCACAGTGGATAACCAAGTAGCGAAAAAGAACTGGTACCAAACATGAGTCGAGCTGAACTGAGCCGTACCATGCAGTGGACATGCAGCATTAGTCAGTGCTCTGAAGAGTGAAAGCTATAAAGGTGTTTGAACAACCTGAAGATCCAAGTCCTCACTTCACATTTGCCGTAGGGAACTTAAAACCTAAAATTTACACACAGCTTTTGACGTCTGGTAGCCTCAGGCACAACCACTGAGGGGAAATGGTTGAGATATTCAGAGTACCAGACAGAATCAGCTCAAGAGACTGAAAAACTACATCGATAAAGGGAGAGTGGGGGATAATAAAAGAGATGGGGAACAAAGACAAACATGTTCAGGCCTCATTGAAGACATTCCATATGATCAATGAAGCAGTGAATGTGTCAGGGTGTGTTTGTGTATGAGTGTGTACATAGGTAACATGTCAGAAGCAAATCAATACCAATCATCAGCTGCAATCACAGTCAACAGACTGAACAAGGCTCAAAGCACCTTCCATTGGGTGAAGAGTCCTGTTTACTTCTCTACATGCAGTGAACTCTTTTCATTGGTCATATTTCTGCTTCTTGCTCTTATTTATTCCACATTATAATTTTGTAATATTATGCCGCTCAGTGGGAGCACTTTTAAAAGTCTGTATATCGGCACTGAAATTCTGTTACCTGAAGGTATTTAAACTAGCACCGCGTCTGCAGAGCGAGCAGAGTCAGCATTAACCCTGAACTGTCGGTATTTGTCTACCCTTGAAACTTCTTTTCATGGTCAACAAGATAAGGACCACAAGCAAATGTTTAAGTACTCCTATTAAACTAGAAAGACACCCTTTCATCCTAAAACAAACTGGAACACTGTAATGTGAGGTTTTGTTTTTTTTTTCTTTTTTGAAAAATGTATTGACCTGGGACAAAAATCGAACATCATGTGTTCCCTCAGCACCAAAATATGCACAGATGTCTCAGCTGCACGTGGCCGGTGCTTTGTAATGATGATTCTCTGCAACGTGCACTTTACAGATTAGAGATAAATGCTGTCTCTGGTGTGGAATCTTACCCTGGCCAGTACAAGCAGAGTGACTGCTGAATAGTGAAATTACAGGAATAAGACGAGCAGGCACAACTGCCTAGACCAGCTTTTGCAGAAGTAGGTACTATTTTTAGGAAAGGGTTACAGCTTGGAGTCAGAAGACAATCAGGGTTTTCTCAGTTACTCTCGACTTACTAAATGTGCATCTCCTGCACTCATGACTCTATCAATCCTATCTTGTGATTATATACCTCTTATTTCTTTCTTAATATGGTTTTAACTAAAACATTTACAAGAGAAAATGTCAGAAATGTGAATTACTAGGACTGCCCCCAACTAATAATTTTCCCAGTTGACCAGTAGTCGTAATTTAGGGCCATCAGTCGTTAGTCACCCGCATGCTTACGATGTTTATTTAATTATTAAATGATATATTTTGGTGGAATAGTATCAGTAACATTGTTAACACTGTGCTACATTACAGAGAAATACAAAACCGTACTAATGAACCTTCATTAATATAGGCCTATATTTTATCTACAAGTGCATGTCACACTGAGCGAGCCGCCTGTTAATGACGCTGTGGGCTAATGGGCATGTAGCTACTTCCATGTTTCAGATGATACGTCATGTTTGTAGTCGACCAATGAAGATGAGTTTACATATCACCTTGGGTTCGTCCTTCACCTTCTCAAAATGATCCCACACTTTGGATTTCCTGCCCTACATGTTATTAACTAGCCTGTGGAATAACCGCAGGTACCAGCCCTGGAAATTAACCTGACTCCTGTCTGACTGCTGAGCGTGGACACTTCCTGTGTCTGTCCTTTCAAATTAAAGTCCCACATGATCCAGTTGTATAGGTTTGGATTTATTTTGACAAGGCACAGCTTCTAATAAAGTTTCACGTTTGTTTTTTGTTGTTTTTTCTGTGACTAAGCGACCAATGAAATTTTGCCGACTAATGACCTTTCTGGTTGACTAACTTTTGGTCGAATATTAGTGGGCAGCCCCAGATAATATCAAGTTGCTGATTTTAGTTCATCAATCTGTTGATAAGAGCATGCAGGTCATCATTCCATCATAATTCTCTATGCTTACTTTTGCAGGGAATAGAAGAGCGGTGCGATGACCAGCAGTACCAGCAGCAGGACGAGGGCGCTCACCAGCCCAGATACCTGAGTCTGGCACCCTGTGGACTCCTTGACGAGGGTCTTAGTCAGCGCAGCGCTGGTGGTGAAGCAGCGGAAGAACGATGGCAAGATGTTGCAGAAGCCAATGGCGTACATCTCCTGGTTGGCATCCACCGTGTAGCCGTGCTTCTTGGCGAACATCTCTGACAGTGAGACAGTGATAGCGAATCCCACGATGGCGATGGAGAAGGCGTCAACAGCTACGTTGGGGATCAGACTCCACATGGGCAGCTTGGGAGGGAGGAAACCCGTGGGGATGTCACCAGCTACGTCCGAACCGTAGTCGGTATTGAAGTGGCCAAAATGAGAAGCAAGTGTTGCAATAACCACCACGAAGAGCTCGAAGGGGATTGGAGCCTGGGTAAGGGAAAGAAAAGAGACAACACACAATTGCTGGGTGGATTCAAAATTGAGAGTCATTTTTGTTATTGTAACAGTATTTCCACTAGTGGGCTAACAAATGAGTTTAGTCAGAGGGAGGCAGGGGAAGACACATATGTCAAAAGAGTTTATCCTGTGTATGGGCTCAGACTTAGCCTAATTTTCTTAGCATCACTTTTCGCTGCACTTTTTATGCCTAGCTATCATTTGTTAGCCTCAATTCCTTCCAACTTGACAACATAAACATTTTAAATCAGTCCCTTTGTATTTCTTGTAGGAATGTTTTCCAGAGGATGTAAATAACATCATCTGACAGGAAGTAAACATGGACCCAAGCTGTTGTCTAGCAATGCAATTCCAGTGAAAAGATCTGTAGACAGAATAACAGTGTTTGTTTCCACTAACTTCTAGGTAGAACTAATGTGTTTTTATGGATCCCATCGCAGTCATTGGCAGATTCTTACCACATCCTTAACCACATCAAACATTTAACCCCAGACATATCTAACCTTCACCGAAACATATGCAACTTCAAAGATGTACTGAACATTTGACAAAAGTAATGGATTAACCCAACCACATGACCATATCCAACACGCCCCTGCTAACGTTGCCAAAAATAGACATTTCAAAAGCACAAAAAATTGGACCAGGTTGGTAAGTGCCTTCACTCTTAACTAGTTCTGCCTAAAAATTAAATTATGGTTCCCCGGTCATGACACTGTACTAGAGGTTGATAGATATCCAATTTCTCGTAAAGTCAAAGAGTGCTAATTTCTGACAGTGTAAAAAAAGTGAAAGGTTGGATATTGGGCGATTAATCAGCTTTTTCCTGCTCCAAACCATTATTATTAGCTATATATATGTTATATGTTATATGCTAATATTTACTAAGTAATTTGACTGGTACCGATATCAATATATCCATTTTTTCCCTGCCTAATTTTAGTGATCATCAAGTCTCGTCTGAAGTGGAATTATTATCATGTTATTCATATATACTCTTATTGTGACAGCCCACTAGCAGATTGAGACATAATTTACAATGCTTTTAAATATATATGTAATATTCATTCATTGTGCAAAATAAGGAAAAACATATTGGCCGATACTGATGACGTGTCCGTAGTATTGTGCATTCCTAATTGTTACTATATCAGCCTTTAAAAGCCCAACATTGGTCGACCTCAAGCTGTGACCCAAGAACAAATGAAACAAGAACCTTTGATTATAGTCCTGGTCAGCGAGATTACCTTCAGCTTGGCTTTGAAGCGATCATTGAGCTCCTTGGTAGGTACCAGTATCAGTAAACACACTATACTGGTCACCAGGTCACAAATGTTGGTTTTTCCCAGGTTGGTGAGAATGCCGTACCAGGTCTTAAACAGAGTGAACCAGCCCTGAGGCCTGGGGATCTTGAGGCCCAGGAGGTATTTTAACTGGGACGTGAGGATGGTGAGGGAGGCTCCTGTAGCGAAGCCACTGAGAAGGGAGTCTGAGAGGTAGACTGAGACGAAGCCTACCTGGAAAAGGCCCATGAGCACCTGAGAGAAAGAGGTAAGCAGGAGTAAGCGGGCAGGTTCTGAACTACAGACAGGAAATTTACATCCAAGGAAATATTTTCAAAACGACACTTGAGATATTTTTGTCTTTAAAATGTTTCAGTGCTTTTAATGGATATCAGCCATGAAGAAGAAGAAGCATTTGTTTACATTAGTATATGATCATTCCTGTCTGTCCAATCGCCCCTGCTCACTTACCTGGTAAACTCCAGCAGTAAAGGTAACTGTTGCTCCCACTGTGATTGCATAGCAGCTTCTGTCACATTCCACAGTGCCATTCCCCTGGCCGGCCAGCAGGAGGGCGCTACTGTTACTGCTGCTGCTGCTTTCTGTGAGGTATCCTGCCAAAGCTAACTCCCTGTCCACAACCTGACCCACAAGCAGGCAGAGCACCCCAAAGATCCCCACTGAGATGTGTCTGGAAGTGCCTAAGAGGGCGTAGATGATGGAGGAGAAGAAAGAAGTATAGAGACCATATATGGGGTCCTGACTGGCTAATAAGGAGTAGGCTATAGACTGAGGGACCAATAGGACTCCAACAATCAGTCCTGACATGACATCACCCAGCAGCCATTCCCTGAGCTGGTAGTGTGGCAGCCATTTCAGAATTGGCACAAAGCCCAGTATTTTGGATTTAGCTTTCTTTGGTGTGCACACGCAGTGTTTCTTTAAACGATGTGACACAACAGTTTGCCAGCTTTTAGACTTTTCTTTCTCCACCCTTTCCAGAAGAAGAGGCTGCAGCTGGTCGCTCTCAGCTCCATCTTCTGCTGTTGTACAGCAGTCATCGCCATGAGTCATGATCGAGCCCTTCTCTGTGGGGATTTGAAGAAAAAGAGTTCAGTTTAGTCAGTTATACAAACTTTATTTCAAGTAACAGCTGATTACAAGATGTAAGAAATGAAGAAGTTCAACAAAACAAATATTTATTTATACACAAACTCATCTGCTCCTACTCATATTTTAACATTTGCACTTCACCACAAAAACAAACATGTATGACACGTCAGAGGCAGTGTGGAGTGAGGTAAAGGGTGAGAACAAGTGCTATTAAATGTCAGGTCAGTGGGTGTGGGCCTGACTGTGTATGTCTGACATTTTACTGAGGGTGACATACAGTTCCTGCTCTTGATGTTCCATCAAGATATAGACATGACACTTCCCTTTACTCATACAATTCAGCTTACACTTTTAGTGACTCCAAAACAGAGAAATAACCCTCACTGCTAACACTGAGATCTACCAAACTGAAGACAAACTAAGCAGGAAGCTCAGAAAAATCACAAAACAACCCCTGTAATGTTACTCCCTCTTTACAGCCTTCAGCAAAATTGTCATTATGTCAACAGGTTTCAAGCTTTCTTTGCACAGTAAATTGATATTTTTTAACCCTTTGAAGCCTGAGTGAACAGGCTTGATTTCAATGAGCAACTCAAGAAATGGCCTGAAAATTAGCAAGATATTTTAAAAGTAAATCTGAAGTAAATCTGTTAACTAAGAAATTACCCGAAAATAAGCCAAAAGAAAAGTTAAAAAAAAATAAACAAGAAAATTGCTGAAAATAAGCAAAAATAATAAATAAAATAAAAAATTAACTCATGAAAAAAATTCTAAAAATTATATTAAGTGCTATACATATTCATTTTCTGTAACAAAATTTAGAAACAATTTGAATACTTATTTTCTGTAACATAATTTTAAAAATTAAATAATATAAATATAGTTAAACTTTAATACAAAGTTATAAATTAAATAACTTTAATATTACATTGTATTTTATTTATTTAATTACTTTTTTAAGATAATTCTTTAGGTCATGTTCTCATCACTTTTTACTCATATCTTGCAATTTGCGTGACATTTCTTGCCATGCCGCTCATTTCCTTCCCCCCCCCCCATGTTTTCTAAAGAAGTCAAACCAGTTTATTCAGGATTCAAAGTAACTCTTTTAACTAAGAAATTACCCCAAAATAATGCAAAAAGAAAAGTAAAAAAATAACAAACAAACAAGAAAACTAAAATCAAAAATAAATACATAAATTAATTAATTAATAAAAGTAAGAGAAAACACAAGAAAAGAAAATTACCTGGAAAAAAAAGCTAAAAATAAAATGAACTAATAGGCTATGTATATTTCTCTTCTGTAACATAATTTAAAAAATTAAATAACTCAACATTTAATTTTATTATTATTATATATTCTTTAAGATAATTTTTTAGGTCATTTTCTCGTCACCTTCTACTTTTTTCTCGCCTTTTTTCAGGATTCAGAGGTTTAAATGCTTTGAACGCAGCACAAGAAAACTGATGATGATGCAGGTTTCAAAGGGTTAAGCTCACCTTTGTGGTATTTTGTTCCCCATTTCATGAGCAAATACAGCTAGTGAGCTGCATTAAGTCATTTTAGAGGATCAGAAATATAGTTTAGACTGTTAAGTCAGTTTTAGAACAGGAGTCGTTTGCTGCTGTTGAAACAACATTAAAATGACTGCATTTAAATTTTATTTATTTATTTATTTATTTGTGGAAAAAGTCCCACCTACGTGTTAAGACTCAACTGAAAACTGAAAGTGACTGATATGCTGGAGAAAGTTGTTTAAATAAAAGTCCAAAACTAAACTTCTGATCACTTTCTATACCTGGCAGATTTCCAAAACGTGCTGATTTAAATCCCCACAGCTCATAAAAGACATTTACACACACACTGAGTCTCATTTTAATGCCATCAGCACTGTTTGACCGCAGACTTAAAAGCATTCTCAAAATTACAAAGGTAATCGGATTACAGTGACGTTAGCTGGTTTTGGTCCTAATAGAAGTCGTGTGTAGTGGTGTTAATGAGATTAGTGGAGCTGAATACAGGCTGTTTAAAATGCTGCCTGTTTCTAAGGTTAACGATAGCGATCTAACTGTATATTAGGGATAAAAATGTCCGACGTTACTAAACGGTAACACACACTACAGCTCGTTATATCTCACATTTCAGATATAAACTCCTGCTGAATACACTGTAGTTACTCCCTAACCTGTCCAGCACAGTGTGACTCAGTGTAAATTAGTCCAGCAGCGCTGCTGAAGCAGAGATATGAATGAGCTCCTTTGTAAACAAGTTGTCAACGTGGACACGAGTTAAAAACTTGAGCCAGCGGAAGTTGATAAACGTCACACTCTGCTCTGCCACGGGAAACAATAAACATTGCTGTTAATGTGTAAAGTTACTGACCTGAGCTCGAGCCAGTCGCGGTTTACCAAGTTAATTTTAGGTTGTGTCCAGAGAGCCGAGAGTGAATCCGCCTCAAATTCATTTTACACTGGAGCACCGTGCGTGATGAGGTCACACGGAGCGTGTAGTACACGTCACGTGACCTGCTGAGACCAAGATGTTCTATGACGGCAGATGCATCACTTTGTGGCTAAATAAGACATCACTAATAAATAAATAAATAAATAAATAAATAAATACAGTACAGGCCAAAAGTTTGGACACACCTTCTCATTCAATGCGTTTTCTTTATTTTCATGACTATTTACATTGTAGATTCTCACTGAAGGCATCAAAACTATGAATGAACACATGTGGAGTTATGTACTTAACAAAAAAAGGTGAAATAACTGAAAACATGTTTTATATTCTAGTTTCTTCAAAATAGCCACCCTTTGCTCTGATTACTGCTTTGCACACTCTTGGCATTCTCTCCATGAGCTTCAAGAGGTAGTCACCTGAAATGGTTTTCCAACAGTCTTGAAGGAGTTCCCAGAGGTGTTTAGCACTTGTTGGCCCCTTTGCCTTCACTCTGCGGTCCAGCTCACCCCAAACCATCTCGATTGGGTTCCGGTCCGGTGACTGTGGAGGCCAGGTCATCTGCCGCAGCACTCCATCACTCTCCTTCTTGGTCAAATAGCCCTTACACAGCCTGGAGGTGTGTTTGGGGTCATTGTCCTGTTGAAAAATAAATGATTGTCCAACTAAACGCAAACCGGATGGGATGGCATGTCGCTGCAGGATGCTGTGGTAGCCATGCTGGTTCAGTGTGCCTTCAATTTTGAATAAATCCCCAACAGTGTCACCAGCAAAACACCCCCACACCATCACACCTCCTCCTCCATGCTTCACAGTGGGAACCAGGCATGTGGAATCCATCCGTTCACCTTTTCTGCGTCTCACAAAGACACGGCGGTTGGAACCAAAGATCTCAAATTTGGACTCATCAGACCAAAGCACAGATTTCCACTGGTCTAATGTCCATTCCTTGTGTTTCTTGGCCCAAACAAATCTCTTCTGCTTGTTGCCTCTCTTTAGCAGTGGTTTCCTAGCAGCTATTTGACCATGAAGGCCTGATTGGCGCAGTCTCCTCTTAACAGTTGTTCTAGAGATGGGTCTGCTGCTAGAACTCTGTGTGGCATTCATCTGGTCTCTGATCTGAGCTGCTGTTAACTTGCTATTTCTGAGGCTGGTGACTCGGATGAACTTATCCTCAGAAGCAGAGGTGACTCTTGGTCTTCCTTTCCTGGGTCGGTCCTCATGTGTGCCAGTTTCGTTGTAGCGCTTGATGCTTTTTGCGACTCCACTTGGGGACACATTTAAAGTTTTTGCAATTTTCCGGACTGACTGACCTTCATTTCTTAAAGTAATGATGGCCACTCGTTTTTCTTTAGTTAGCTGATTGGTTCTTGCCATAATATGAATTTTAACAGTTGTCCAATAGGGCTGTCGGCTGTGTATTAACCTGACTTCTGCACAACACAACTGATGGTCCCAACCCCATTGATAAAGCAAGAAATTCCACTAATTAACCCTGATAAGGCACACCTGTGAAGTGGAAACCATTTCAGGTGACTACCTCTTGAAGCTCATGGAGAGAATGCCAAGAGTGTGCAAAGCAGTAATCAGAGCAAAGGGTGGCTATTTTGAAGAAACTAGAATATAAAACATGTTTTCAGTTATTTCACCTTTTTTTGTTAAGTACATAACTCCACATGTGTTCATTCATAGTTTTGATGCCTTCAGTGAGAATCTACAATGTAAATAGTCATGAAAATAAAGAAAACGCATTGAATGAGAAGGTGTGTCCAAACTTTTGGCCTGTACTGTATATATATATATATATATATAGGTAGATAGATAGATAGATAAAGGAAAATACTTTATGATAAAGGGAGTTACTCTGTGTGGTTATTGTAGTAGAGAGCTCAATATTCATTGAAACACAGGGGGCCATCTTTTTGTAACACCCTACCTCCATCACTTTAGTCAACATTGACATTATTATTACTTTAAAAACATTTTAAATTGACTCTGTTTTGCAAAAACTAACACTTCACTGATTAATTTGTAATGCGGTAAAACTAAACTTTTTTTTGGTACATTTCTATCAGCTTTGTGTTGCTGCTTAGTCTTGAAACTTTGATCAATATGCAATCTTTGTTTTTATCTTTCTCTTTTTTATTGCTTTTTAATAGTGGAGGCATCTTCATAAGCTGTTTTTGGCTTCTGTAATGTTTAAACTTTTTAAATTCTCACTGTATTTTCTATACACATGTACAGTGTGTGCAAATAAGGGACTCTTTATATTGTAATGTCCTGGAACAGTAGGAAAAAAACAACTACTCCCAGGAGGCAAATTGAGGCTATGGTTATATTATAATTTTATTTTTCTAAACTTTATGCTGGTATTTGCTTTTGCTCACTCACCCACCTCTGTACATACTCTTATTTAATGTGCTTTTATGTGTGTGCTCGTGAGTTTGTGTGTGTGTGTCAGCATGTGTCTGCCATTTGTGGAGATGTGTGTGGGTTTGTGTATGTATTGTTTATGTGTATATGCTATAGTACTTGTTTGGGGGAATCAGTTAACATGCTGGTGGCCATAGGGCGGCTTAGTCATGCCTACATGACCCCAGATGTGTATATGCATACTGTGCCATGTATTGCTATTTGTTGTGTATGTTATTTGTCTTTATTTAATTTAAAAACACACAAAAAAGATACACAGTCACATCACAAGCGTTCTTAGAAGTTCCTGTAAGTCCCTGATCAGTATGCCAGATCTAAAAACTTTCCATTTCCACCACTGACTGTATCAAAACCTAAAACCCTAAATTGTTATACACCAATAAAACACCACAGTGTCTGCAGATCCTCAAATAGTCTTAAAATATTCTACTTTAATTTTTATAACTATTAGACCTTTCCAGAATCATTTAATAGTTTATTTATCAATCTTTTGATTTCTTTTTGTCAAAATGTGTCAGGGTGTTCTGTGTGAAAGTCCAAATTTCTGATGTTACAAATCCTTTAACGTAACACTGAACCTAATTCTGTGTTTTTACATTATACTTTCACTTACCTGTTGGCAAAATGTAGATTAACCTAACTCACTCCAATATGCTTACATCTACCTAAATCCTGGGACCACATGTATATTACTTAATTTCACCCGCAGTGCTTGAATAAAAACTATAATTTTCCCCCAAAAATCTGGTTTAAAATTATCTGGAAAATGTAAAAAGCATTAAATGTGAGTGTCTGATACCTGTAGACACTCGAACACTTGACAAACCAGACAATGTAGAAATATCTGAAATTGTCGATTCATACTTACGGACATACATACATACAGGAAGTTGTCCTCCCACCCGTCTTTTCATGTCTTACAAGCCAGTTACTCATGTAACCCATGATGATGTTGTTGATGTGTTATCCAGGATTAGTGAGCACTCTTTTTGCGCTGCAGCTCTCTGAAGAGACCCTCATTGATAGACACCATACAAGTGAAACCAGCTGCACAAGTCTAAAGAGTTTATTTTGGCAGCACCAACGAGACGACTTCTGTTCTCGCTGTTTGTTATTCTCGATGTCAGATTGCTCAGAGAGGGTGTGAGCGTGACTGATGTTTGCAGTTCATCACCACATGATACATGATACAGTATTAGAAGCAGGAGAGACACATGAGTGTAACACTATGACATACTTTATCTGGTACTTATAAAACAATCGGCCAGAAAACATGCTAACAAGTGTTTGTAATGAGCTGAATATGTCAAGTACAAAGTTTAAATTTCATGACATTGCACAGGAGCACCATTAGTGCTGAGGGTGTCCTGTAGTGAGACCGAACGATTCCCATGTTGTGTCATTAAACATGGGAAGGTATTGTAATCCCAGTGTTGTAATTGGATGCAGGCTTAGGGCCACACATGACCATTTAAAACCATCCTGGTAATCTCCTTTCTTTTCTCAGACACCCGCAGATTTTGTTAGTAGGACAGAGGGATTACACTCTGTGGGAGACAACACAAGGACTTTAACAGGTAGGACTGTTTACATTTTATTACATCTGTAGGACAGATAACTTTACTGATAACCTTCTATGTGAAATACCTTGAACATGGAGGAGACAGTAAACAGTAACAAGAAGCGTTAGATAAGAACTCACTTGTTTACACCTGTCTACAGTACTGACAGGTTAAACTGATTGCCAGGAAATTAGCCTGTCAACATTACAAATAGGTCACTGAGCACCTATGTTTTACCACCAGGCAGCACTGCAGTGGGCTACTTATGATTATGTGGAATTTAAACTTTGCAAAGTTGGCAGTAAAAGCAAACAAATGTCGTCACACAATTAAATTCTGTTTCCCAAGCTTTTCTTTTTTTGGATTTGAAATCCAGAGCTAGACAAGATAGGGAGAATCAAGATTACCGTCGCCACCGCCCATGAGATTTGGCAAAATGTAGAGGAAAAGGCCACTCTGAAAACGGTTGATGCATATTTTAGTTGCTGAAATGTTAAAACTTTGGTCTATAGGCTATCAAATTAAACTGTTTTTGTCAAAGCCGAAGGGAGCCACTGGAGAGGGACTAAAGAGCTGCATGTGGCTCTGGAGCCGCAGGTTGCCTTCGACTGGACTAGAGCAAACATATTTTCACATCTAACTGGGAGAATAAGCTTTCTTTCACAGCAGACATTTTGACTTGTCAGTCAGACAGTCACTGGTGTTACTGATAACACTAACAATGACTCTGTTCTATTCAAGTATCCCACTGAGACAGTGACAGTGAGCCAGCATGCACGACACCAGGACCCTGAAATCAAAGCAGCTGAATGGAACTCAGCCATCATTTATGTCATTATGTACACCTGTGTTGCTCCTGTGACAAGTCAAAATGTCCTCTGTGAAATAGGTCTATTAAGAGTTTGTTTCAGCCAAACCAGAGCAGGTGATTATTGGAACAGTGAAAAGACAAACAAGGCTGTTGTTGTGAGTTTTATTTTATTTCTGTGGACTCTGAAT